GGGGGTGAAAAGACAGAGAGGCCCTGTTAGAGATATGGGATGCTTTTATGACCATACCAGCGTTTCAACAATTCAATCAATCTGGAAAAAGTCACTGTGACATTTGTGGAATAGCACGAAAACATCAACGGCGCGTCGCCTCCCGCAAAGCACACAACGGGCTTTCGGCATTGCCGTGGCGATGTCATTTGTTTATTCGCAGACTAAAGGTTGTGCGCTTCGGAACCGACGTCATCAATTGGATTCATGGGCTCTGCCGTAGTTTTCCGGGCCTCGTCACAAGAGAGCGGAACCCAGTGTCTACTAACAATGAAGAGCCTCTGCAAGTCAGCTCCGAGGTAAGCACAGCAAATACCTGCTGTTTCTATTTATACTTTACGGTTTGTTTGTTTACTCTGTAACCATGACATCCGCAGTATATAACTGCAGCGCTACGTTCTCTGACATCCTCCTGAGGAGGTGTGTATCGCGTTGAGCCGCTGTGTTTGGACACCGGTTGACATCCATACAGTGTGTGCTTGTCCCATTTTGAGGTTAAACGCGGCTTTGGCTTAATTTCTTTGGTGTGATTTGCCTGCGCAGCTTCCATCATAGCAACCCCTGAGGCCTTATTGAGAGAGAGATTGCAAACCTCTCCTCATTAGTTGTATTTGTGTTCCTCCTACACGCATTTCTCCTGAAATATTTCAGCGTTATTTCAATTATCTGTTTCTTAAGATGCAGAGAGGTATTCTGTGTGCACAAGCAATGTGTGCTTTCATAGACAGATAGATTATTATTCATAGACCGAGCGGGTTCATAGTAATCCATTCAACATATTTCATTTACTGTATATAGTAAATATAGTCTGAAGCATTTTGCACATACCACACCACCAGTTTTTTAAAGGCATTTTGTATTTTCATTGATAACAACTTTGGATGAAATCCCTTAAAATTTAAAAAGCCTGTTTAGAGTTCTATTTGTCACTTTTCTCCGCTCCATCCTTTAGTGGATAAGAGTCACTGCCTAATTTACTTTTTTTTTTTTGGACAAGTTCAATTTGTACACATGAGCAGTTTACTCCCCTAAAGGTTGGATAAGGAGGGTTGCCTCCACAAAGTCAGCAGTTCAAATCTCCGGGCGGATGTAAGAAATCTGGGGGGGGCGAGAGCGAGTAAGCAAGTAGTTCCCACCTCAGAGCCTCCTGTCATCGTTTAAGCCCCAAATGCTTTGAAATGAACCCCCGAAATAGCCTTTGATCTGGCCGTTTTAACAACTTCCTCCATGATGCTCAATTCACGTTTCACTATCCCTGTGCCTTCACATAGAGGTTTTTATTGCACAAAAATTGCCGGTTAAAGATCACACCAGAGACCCGACTGCAGGTGGCAGCTTTGCAGTATAACAAGGGTGATGTTGATCTTCAGATTTGCCGTCAAACGGTGCAATTTCTGAGTCAGAGGAAGCCAGATTAAGTCATTGTTCATTTGGCAGAAGCACAAAGGCAAAATCGTGAAACCTCAATTCATCAGAAATATCAGAATGTTTTTATTTTTTAAATGTAAAGGGCTTTGTTGTTTTTTTTAAAAGCTCTCGACTGCCTAAAAGAAGCGGGCCGTTTTGCACACTTACTGCTTTCAGTCTCGCAGGCTGGCTTTGCTAAACGTGTCAAGGAGCTATGGGACGAAAAAAAAGCAACCCTTTCATTTGGAAAAGATGGATGAGCACATTTGGCAAAAGTTACTGACAGAGGCGGAAGATATCAGCTGTGGAGTTGAACGGATGCCTTTGGTGTGACGGTCGTTTGATGCATGACTCAAGTCAGCTTTCCAAGTATGTATAATTAGATGAGACAATAAAATAGCGTTTTGATAGTTTGTTTTGTTCTGTCTGCGGTCTGTTTGGTCCTTCTGTTTACCGTTGAGCTTATTTTCTGCAATAATCCCAATCAAAAAAAATCATCCAGTCGGCCGTTTTGTCGCAGGACCCTTTGCGATTATAGCGTGTCATTTCTGCCATTGCAGGAGGGACATCCAGCAATATTTCAGCACAGGTCAAGGCACGACCGACATTATTCATTCATGAAACATTCATATGACGTCCTCATATTTCTTTTTTCATTCATTATTGTGTGCAGTAGATTATATTTGTTCATGAGCATCTTGACTTCACTTTGCAAGAAAGGCTTTGAGAGCAAATGTCACGTGTAATCTGCATAATGGCAAATGTCACGTGTAATCTGTATAATGGCAAATGCCTCTTAGCCCATGCACAATGCCATGCAATTAAAAAGATGTTGTCCATGACTCAATGTTCATGAATACTGAGGCCTGGGCTTGCTTGGGAGGATAAAGTAATGGAAGAGTTAAGTCGATATAACGGCATTTTAGACAATCGTAACACTCCTCACCAGCACTGGAAGGAGACTCAGGAGACAAGATTCATATTTTTGGTTTATTTAGTTTTATAACACCCCACAGCTACTATGACAGACGCATGCCCGCAGGCGTTGGTAACATCCCCAAAAGGACGGAACCCGTCACTGAATTACGTAACAAATCCTCGTCGTCATTGTCATCACCATCATGGCCCCAGAGAAAAACTTTAAAACCTCTGGACTTTAATCAGGCATATTCTGGGTTAGAGTTCCACAAATAGATCTTTTCTTTACACATGCTGAGGGGGGGCTGTGGGCAAATTACAGAGGTTAATGACTTTGTAAATGATTCATGTTCAGGTCTAAGCGAGGCGGTGGAATCTGAGTAATCTGGCCGACAGTGGTAGTCATGGCCCATGTTTTGCTACTGGAGGGGGGGGGGGACAACAGTATCAGTTGTCTTCTCTCTAGAGTCATGTTATATTCAGTAATACATTGACTAGTTATCTTACATTCATCCTAACCCGTGGTTGAAATCCATTCATAAGATGAAGACGAGCTGGTCCTTGGGTTAAACCGACAGGCCGCTCCAGCGACGTCGGACAAAAGAGATTGGGAACCACTAGAGTCAGTAAAATACTGTTCCTCCGCGGTATTCATGACTTCATCCGTCTGATGTGGCTTTTAATGTCTCATTCTCGGTGGAGTCCCTCTTTTAACGCCTAGTCCGGCGAGTCACCGAACTAAAGAGCAAGGAATCTCTGTCCATCTGTGAGTCCGTTGCATCTTCTCGAGAGCCCGTCATCTGATCTTCTTCACACTCTGCGGGTGTTGCGCTGCACGACACGTTGAATGTGAATAAACAGCGAGTCCTCGGTTCACTTCCCGGACAGACGGACCATTTGCTGCATTTCTCCTGTCTCTCTCCACCACCACTTTAAAGAAAAATAGGTTTCAGTTAGTCCTAATGCTGAGTTTCATACAAACGTAAGACAGGCAGCATGACATGGAAGTTGCATCACCTAATGGATTTCTTTTCCTTTATAACCTTCCACAGATCAAACGTATACCCACTTTTATTTATGGCTTCACCTCAACAGGAGGCGTTTGCATCATTTTTGAGTACACCCCCCCCCTTCCCTAAACCCCCACAAGCACACACAAACGCACACACACATAAACACACAAGCACACACACACACACACACACACACACACTTTATCATCGGCTCTGGCACAAATCACTTTTTCCAAAGAGATTGCCTCCTCCCTTGTGCAGTTTTAACTTCAACGGGGTTAGAAACACAATTACCTCATCTTCCCCCGATACATAATCTGTGGCTGTAAAGAAAAAATGAAGAAAGGGTGAGAGGGTGAGAGATGATGGCGGTGATGGTGGTGGTGGTGGAGGAGGAGGGCAACAGGGCAGGTGTAAGGGAGATAAGGGACGTTGGCTGTGCTCATAAGATGATGATTCAGAAAAGGAACGTTGGGGAACAGAGTTCAAATAGGCTGAGCTTTCAAACAGCGCCTTAATCATCCCCACCGTGTATAGCCTCTAATGGTTTGTCAAAACCTCTGCAGGGCGACAGGATGATTCCTGCATATAAAACTGTGGAATAGAAATCAGAATAGAGTCAGGAAGACACCATGCAGACATGGCCATACAACATGTGGGAACATGGAATACGTATACCTAACTACACTACACTGTCTGTGAATATGTATACATATTACAAAAATAATTTGACACTGAAAAAGCAAAGTCATGCCTGAATAAACCCCCAATGTCTGCTGCAAGGAAGAATTAACGAAGGTTCTGTCTAAAAACCCACAGGCTGTCCTCCCAAGGCTTTTGTATCAAATTGGATTTTAATGCTTTAAATGCAGAAGATAATGCAATCAAAGGTTTTGCTGATCCAGTAATATTCCTTGAAAAAAAAACTCGAGAAACCCACTGCTTGTGATGGGTGACTTACGCCACATATTGAACCCACCAACGCTGATGTGACGGGTATTGTGTAGTAAAGGTGGTTATTTAAATGTGTTTCATGCTCATCTGTACCTAAGTGCATCAGTTCTATTACTGGCCGCTTACCTGCAGCTGAGTCATTTTTTTCAATTTGATACACACATTAGCTCACCTGTTGGAGTCCAATTTGGCTTCCCATCGGGGCCGATACCAGCTGCCGCTCCGCTCAATACTCTAAATAGGAAACAGCAGAACCAGGGATGGAGAGGGAAAAAGTAGCAGCATTTGTAATATGTTTTTTGGGTGACATTAAATGCAATAACTTAAAATCCTCACGGTCTTTATGTCGCTTTCATTACTGAATGAATGTATTTAGATGAGGGAGGGGGGGGATCTGTACACAGCAATGATTACATGCAATGGCAGACAGTCTGAAGTAGAGCTATTAACTATTAATAAACATATTAATGGTGTTATGATATTACTATATAGGATAACATGTTTAAATATACCAAGCGTTCTAATAATCCTGGATTAAAGGACTAATAGTTATTATTATCTATACACTTGTGGGTAATATATTAAGGTTAATGTAATACAGTGTGCGGTGGCGCCCTCTAGCGTTTCGGGGAGTATTGCAACAGACACGCGCCAGGTGTCAGGTGCGCAATCAACGCCTTCGCCTCGCACGAGCGCCTCGCCGTTAGCGGGGAGACCACCGAAACCCGTTGGTTTCTTTAGCTGCCGAATTTAGCATGCTAACACCACAGGACCGTCGGAGAGTTTAACGTTATACCAACGGGCTTTCCGTTAACTTCCAGTGGATTCAACACGCCGCTGTGGGTATGTTAAGTCGGGAAGCCCCCCATCTTTACTGCACAAATTGTGTAAGTTTATAATTGCACAAATTTATAACACCACCGCCGGTGCTCCCGGTGTACGTGACGTCCCTCTGGCTAGCTAACGTTAGCTAATGGCCGCTGCTCACCGTGCTTTGAACTAACGTTAATGGATAATTATTCAATGAATGATAACGTCCCATTTTAATTAAATATAACCATGTTGAAATGTGAATCTTCATGGTACCGTTAATTAACTGGTAACGTTAACATCCCTCTGTCAGGCAAATATATTGGTGTAATGTTTCTCTATAGTAGACGTAATAACATATTATGGGATTGAGTTGTGCTTTGGGAGTATTTACTTGACTCTCCTGTTGTCCTCATTTCCTGTATACTCCTCCGGGTCAAAATGACCCGTCTTCACTAAACCCAGCTTAATTGAATTTGAAACACCAAATTTTGATCTTGCTTGTCATCAACTTGTCATTCATCACAACATGTGTGACTACCTGACTTTTTCCTCTTCACTTTATTTGTATCGACGTTTTGTTCTGCATGCTGCCGTGCTGCTGAGGAAAATGTTATTTTGCCATTTTTTGAAGGGAAAGTCTCTCTTTCACCTTCAGGGTTTTCTTCTTCTTCTGAAGATGATTCATCATGCTCTGGGTTGCATTCCTCCCCATCTTCTTCTGATACATCCTCCAATTCCACTTGTGAATCAGAGTTGTCTTGCTGGAAAAAATCAGCTCTAGAGCCTCTTCAACGTTATAACGCACACTCATGGCTTCAGCACAGAGAGAATTCGGGGTCCTGTCATCTGCAGCACTTTTATAACCTTTGGAAATCCGCAGAAAAAGAGATCTGCAGTCTGCGAGAACGCCACCTATCTTGTGTTGTTCACGTTTACTATTAATTGATCTGAGATCTGTTAATACCAGATAGCATGTCTCATGAATAGTTGCGTAACTTCGTAATTTTCATATCCAAGTACAACAAATCTATGACAAATTCTCACGGGTATTTTGACTGAAGGCCTTTTCCATCGATGATGTGCGACGTCACTGTGTCGTTACAGGTGTGATGCTCAGGGACCCTAAGAAGGCTCAGCTGTGTTCTCTCCAGAAAGATCCAAACCGCAACACCTCAGGTAGTGTACTAGTATGAACATCATACAACTGAAGAACTGAAGCTGGTAGGCATTGGTAGAGGAACTTGGAGCCACACGGCTAGAATGATGCATGCAGTACTTGTATGTACCAGGTTTTTTCCTGCGCCCTCTCTGAAAGCTCTCCAGCGACCTTTAACGAGGGAATGTGCTTTTCTCTATTCTTGCATAGAGAGAGGCAAGACAGGAATTTGAAGCATATGTTTTCGTTATTAATCAATCAGAACCCTACGCCTGCATGCTTTTGAGAAATCGTGTTTACAGAGACGGGAGTAGAAGAGAAAGCGATTTTAACAGCACCTCAGCCTGAAGTGATTTAAAGCTGTAAGTAATTATGACCTGCAAACTAAAAAAACAAAACGATGCTGAAAGTTAGTCTCTGCTCTTGCAGCATCTTGAATCTTACTGAGCTGCAAAAACTTTCCTCCTCTGAGACTTCATTCAAGGTTCACCCATGTACAGAGAGAATATCAGCGCACATGCAGAACTTTACACATGCTCCAGTGGTTGACACAAATTCACATGGTGAAATCCGGAAGTATATACAGTGCGGCTTGTCGCTGAAGGAAGGCCCATTTTAAAACAGCACAAATGTCTACATCTTAAAGAGGATTGAAACCTACATATGGGTTTTCTTAACGGCCCTCCCATGGATCAGATACTTGTGTTGGCTGAGAGCACAATAAATGAACTGCAGGAATAGGGATGCTGCAAACATACAAGATCAAGGCTGGCTCAATTAGGAATCATTTTCCATGGGGCTTTATGTTAATCCAATGCCATTGCGCCATAGCAGGAATGATTTTCAAAGTGACGTGTTGCAATCTCTCTCTTCACTAACTTCACCAGTGGGTCTTCTCAAAAATGTTTCAGAATGACTCACACAGCTGGAGACTAAAAATAGCCCACAATTCTTCCTCCTAGGCTCACAATCTCTCCCTGTTGTCTCTTTACCCCCTCTCCATTCCTGTTCCTCCTGTTTGTCTTTCTTTCGCCTCTGCATTTTCCACACCAATACCCCAAACTGGTGAATTTAAGTATAAATCATCAGTGTCCTCTAGAAATACAAAATGAATGCACAGCAAGGAGACATTGATGAAAAAGGAAAAGAGTATGTAGCACAGCTGCAATGTGACAAACTATGTAGGTCATAGCAAAATTATGCTATCAAAGCTTAAATTGGACAATGGGAAAAGATATGCTATCATGCTGACAATACCTACTTTGACTGTACACGCGTGTGCCAAGTTATAAATAACTTGTTTTTATTGTCTATTAGAAAAAAGTCAAAGTAATCCAAATTGTGCAAAATTCCATTGTATACTTTCTGCCAAAGGCCTTCTTCACCCAACCGCCCCGCATTCCTCACTTTCACAGATTCTCACTCGGGAGCCGCAGAGAACAAGGACAGGCGTGTTCTGACGGTCACTGAGCTGTTCCACTGGAGCAGTTAGAGTGGTGAGTACCCTCTTCTAAAGCACCTTGACTGTAGTTGCTGATGGAGGAGAAACTGTTCCTTGCTTAAGACTTCATGTCAAGACGGCAGGCTGATACAAGCCTTGTGTTAACAATTACCTGGTGTCTGTCGGTCGGGGGCTAAACACAAATAGAATGGGGAAACCAGCAATTATTTTTTCTTAGGGTATCCCAGTGTTTTTTTTTTTCACAATGCCTGGGTTTAGTGTGTGTGTGGAAGATGGTTTTATACTAGAAAGGTTTATACTAGATGATTACAACCCATAATATTCCCATTTAAAAGTGAGTTAATTATATTTCTATATTTCTGTGCTGTGGTATCTTGTTACAGATATACCTTCAAATATCATTTTAGTAAACTTAAAGGGCTTTTACCTGGCGGGTGTTTAGCGTAAACAATGCTAAAATGCTAAGTACTCCGTGAATATTGTGTGTGTATAGGGCTTTTTTTCAGAAAGATACGATCTAAATTAGTGTATATTTCTTCTGTCTCACATTTTGTGTTTTTGAGCAGGGCGCCCCCATTATGTAGTGGCTGGGGAAACACTGGGCCAGAATCAAACATTTGTTGAATTGGTCCCTGGGTCATTTTGTTCAGCCAACAAAAGTGACACAATATTATTATGTGACACTAGAATATATTGCTGTTTGTTTGTTATCTTGAAAAATCCCAATTGTTCCTCTCTCTTATACCTACAATTAGCACAACAGTGCCAATTGAACTGGTAAAAAATGCCATAAATCTCAAGCTGTATTTAAAGCATTACCCTTTTTTAAATCTTGATATAATAAGCCGTACAGGAATACGATGTACGAATACGATGAATGAGTCATATCAGTATCAATAAGTTGTTGCTATTATCTTTTGCACTGTGCCTGCACTGCATTACACTGCACTGTACATGTTGTTCTCCACATGTTGCACATCCAATGCCTGCAGGTGGTTTGAGTTCTGCCATGTATTTCAACAACACCACTGCCAAATATTGCTCAGCGTCTAACCAGCAGCCCTCCCCTACTTTCTCGCCAACAAATCTTTCCCCTGATCCACTCCTGGGGAGAAGCATTTCTCCATTAGTAGAACGAACAGCTTAGTCCTAATAGACATTCTACTCAAGTTCATTCTGAAAAAAACAAATGAAGTGTTGCTTGCTTGGCTAGTTCGATATGTGTTAATTTTGACAGCTATGGCTGCTAATAACAGGCCCATCTCTATATGACTCAATGCTAGCACCTGTGTTGCTCGTGTGGTAACTCAAACTGCTCCCTCATATTGAACCCACCAGCTCTGCGCTTTAAACAACTTGCCATCTCAAGCAGATTGTAGTCACTTGTCACAATTTAGCAAGCTTTAATGAATAGATTTAAAACATCTTGATAGCCATCGAGAATTCATTAATAAGTGGTTACACATATAACTTGTTTTAGCATCTGTTTGTGACTCATGTCTCACGTTTTTTTCCTTTCGCCAAAATGAAATGCAGAGACATTGACTTCAGTCCTCTTCTATCTACAAGTATTCCAGGCTGCTCTTAAGTATTTTTTCTACAGATGCATTTAGTAAATGATCCAGTAAATTACTCAGATTTCCATTGGATTCATTGATATTGAAACACGTGTCAGGGTCACTTCTGTGGAACAAATTGATCTAGAGCTGGAAGAAGTGTATTTTGGAGGACCCCGTCTAAAGTGTGCTGGGGCAACCAGAGTAAAAATGACTGCTCTTTGTTAACAAAGAGGGAGTTGCATCCAGTGAAGAAGGACACAATATGATACTGGCAGAGATTCTGGGAACCATCAGCCATGTAGTGACATAGTTATGTTTGTTTGACTCATCTCTCTTCTGTGCAATGGTCTGGAACTTGTTGCTTGTTCTTTCCTATCAGCGAGTGTTTTTCTTAATTACATCCTGATATCAGTTTCTTTTTACTGCATCAGGTTTTGGGAGGTTTTTTTCTACAGGCCGAGTTGAGTCATGGCCATGTCAAATCTTTTTCTATCTACTTACCTATTTCTTTTGGCATCGCTGAATTTTGCTTTTCTTTTTCAAGCTTGTTAATAGCTCCACCCTTGAGGAATTTCTACCACGGTGTGCATTAAGCTCTCCTTCACTCACAAAATAAGATTAGTAGGCAGTCCTGGTCGCTGAGTGTGTAATTGCAGTAGCTGCTGCCTTAGTAAATCACACATTAATTTCACACAGATTGCAAGTGCACATTGCATGAAAGGCACTGTCGAAATACCTATTCACTATTCATGTATGAAACCCTGGTCTTGAGTGACGTTATCATTACAGTTTTATAATTATTTCGTAAGCGTGTGCTTAACGACACAGAAAGGAAGCATAGATATCAAGAGAGGCTGCTTATGCGAGGCTTCTTAGTTGTACAAGAAAGGTCAGAGTGTGTATGCTGTGTCTCAGATTTATGAGCAAAAGGTTGATGTAGTCTTTGGCTGATGAGACCGATCCGTTTCTGCTTTTGTATATCATTCACACTGCCCGGAAAGTGTTTCCTTCAAAGCAATAGACAGGAATAGCGAGAATGCTTACTAACTAGCTCCCTTGTTGCTCCAACAGTTGGTGTAGCAATCAATAAAGCATGGAGAGCTCTGCTGTGGGAGTTATGGGCATTGCTGGAGAACATTTTTGACCAATCAGAAGGCTTGGCGTGAATTATCGAAAGGCCCAAAGACGCTGAGCGCTGCACCATATGTTAGATGGATGTGTGTGCTAGGTAAGTGAGGGAGTACTTTGTATCTAAACACTGGCTACCTCGTGGGGAATGGTGTCTGTTCTTTATCGAGGTGCAGACCCTGAGCTCCTTTCCTATCTATTTCTGATTGCTGCTGTGCTTGTCAGTCATCTGATTCAGAGGAAACCCGTCACAGTCCTGTTATCCGTCCTGGAGACACTTTGACTTGACAGACTCGCTCTGAAAGCCTGCAGGAGCAGCTCAGCGCACCGAAGCGGCAGAGTCATCGGAGTGTGTCGGGTAAAAACTACGAGAGTTACAATGTCAGATGGGTCTTGAGGAAAATGTTATCATATGCATTCTTTTGTGAAATTAAGTTGTTAGTATGCAAGATACTCCGAGTACATGCAAGTATGGGAGACTGTTGTGGAATTTGCTCAAAAGTCATCATCGCTGTTTTGCACCCAATGAGAAGCAAACCAGAAAGTTTTCTTTTAATTTACTACCAATTCATATTTTAAACATCCAGCCAATAGTTGTGTCCACTGACCCTTAGGTCACTTTTTTCGTAAAATAATGAATTCATGCTTTGCCAACATTTGAAGTCCTAGCCAATAACTTGTTCCAGCAAGAGCGTTTTTTCTTTTCTATTCACAAATCAGGAGCATGTTGATTTTAAATGTCGTGGACGTGTGTCAGTGTTTTATGGATACAAGAAGCTTGGGAGAGGACTATGTGAAGCACACACGTGCGTTCACATGCCAGACAGCATGAGAAGTACACTTAAGTCTGTCCATCACCGCCGTCCTACACACAGACACGGTGTGGTTGTTTCTAGTTCTCATTCCCGGTCTGTTCTCTTTTCAGCTTCCAAGAGCAGGGTGCAGGGAGTCATTTGCTAATTGGTTTTGCAGGGGAAACGTATTCGTTTGCCTCTCTCTCCCCAATACCCTCGAGCCCCTCTTCCTCTTAGATGATTCCCCTGTCTCTTGGTCCTGCCAACTCAGCCGAGCATTCATAGAGGCTTGTTATTCTCCTGCGCAGCGTAAATCCGCGGAGCTGTAGGGCCTGGAATCCATAAAGTGTTTAAACGTAATCTGTTGCCTTAAAATAAATGATAAGACTTTGACCAATTTTCAGTCACTAAATGGCCCGATGAAAAAATAAATGTTAAAACAATCATGTGGGAAAAAGTTTTTTGAGATTCACAACATGGGAATTCAAGTTTGAGTTTCTAATTCGTTTTTATAAACGAAAAAAAAAAGTAAGGGACTAGAAAAAGTAAAAAATGTATTCATTGTTTGTGGAGGTGCACTTGTACGGGTTGGATAAAGAAGCAATATAATGCAGGGGCTTGCGTTAAATAATAATCTGATCACTGTAATGGTTGTACTGGTCTCGTATCTTTAAACCCATATGCAGTTACCGCGGCCAATGGAAGATGATATAACTCTTAAGCTGGTTCTCATTGTTTTCGGTATTAGAAGTCCGTATTGTAGTCTAGACGTGAGTATAAGTGTAGTTATGTTTTTCATGCATTTTGCCCAGAATTAAAATTGCACATAACGCCATACTAGAAAGCCACCAAAATACTCAAATGCAGCAGATATACACGCTTTTCCACACACGGCCAATACATGCAAAAACCTCCAATTCAACTGTGCTTATCTGCGGTGTGTACTGTGAATGGTCGTGAGTCTCAACAACCTGTCCCCCCTTCTATGAACTAAAACACACCACATATGTGAAAAACTGCTCATGGGGATTCAGGAGTTTGTAAAAAAAGAACATCATAAACGGTTTGCTTAAGAGGATTGAGCTTTAATGATGAGAAATGCCTGAAAAATGATCTCATCAGATACTCCTCAGTCCACCCTAAGCCTTGCTTGAGGTTAGAAGTTGTCTAGATACACACTCAGGACCAACAATAAGTATCACTGGACTACAAATGAACAGAAACCGAAATGGGGAAAGTAAAAGATTCCCGGCAATTTAATTTCTTAACCACTTGGGAGAGTTAAAAAGAAAACATTCCCTTAGCATATCACGTTTTAGTGATAGGCTTGTTGGACTATTAGCGTAACAAGTCATAATCATTGCAATAAACCTGAAACATATGTTGGCACTAAGCTATTAATCACTTTGCTGATTTTATCTTAATCCTGCATTTGCATGCGTGTTTACCACCCCGGACAGTTTGTGATGATGTTATACCAGAAGGAGGAGAAAATTGGGGCAGCAGTCACTTGCTATTTTTTTCTCTCCGGTTTACATTTGTCAGTTCCTTTC